GCCTGCAGTAGAGTCATAGACTAGAGCGAGCCCTGCAGTAGATTCATGGATTGTAGTAAGATCTGCAGTGGAGTTATGGATTGGAGCAAGGCCTGCAGTACAGACAGGGACTAGAGTAAGGCCTGCAGTGGGGTCATGGATTGGAGCGAGGCCTGCAGTGAAGTCTTGGATTGGATTGAGACCTGCACTGTAGTCACTGACTGGAGCGAGACCTGCAATGAAATCTTAGCTTGAATTAAGCCCTGCACTAGAGTTATGGATTGAAGCGAGGCCTGCAGTAGAGTCATGGCCTAGAGCAAGCCCTGCAGTACAGTCATGGATTGTTGTGAGATCTGCAGTGGAGTCATAGATTGGAGTGAGCCCTGAAGTAGAGTCATGGATTGGATTGAGGCCTGCACTGGAGTCATGGACTAGAGTAAGGCCTGCAGTGAAGTCTTGGATTGAATCAAGCCCTGCACTTAAGTCATGAATTGAAGGCGAGCTGTGCAGTGGTATCATGGATTAGAGTGATGACTGTTGTAGAGTCATGGACTGTGGCGAGCCCTGCAGTGGAGCCAAGGATTGGATCAAACCCCACATCGAAGACATAGATTGGAGCAGGCCCTACTGTGGAGTCCCACAGTGAACCGCTCAATTGCCAAACACACTCACTCCTGTTGGTGTCGTCAATCTGGCAACCTGCATGTGCATTGAGTCAGAGGGGCCAGGTGAAAACAACCCTCTCCAATGTTTTGAATTTGGACTGCAATACGTACTACTACCATTAGGTCCTACTTATTGCACCTTTAAGGACCACATCATTAAAATTCACCAGATTAAAGCGCTTGCAAAATTCCACCACATAATCCTCAATGGGAATTTTGTTCTGACAAAGGTAAAGAAGGCGAACTGCTGCGGTTTATGTAAAATATTATACATTATCTATTTAGAAAATGACCACTAAGCTCTCTTTTACATGCATTAACTCTTTGTCAAGTCTTCTGGAGGAAGATGAGCACTGTGCAGCGTATGTATAGCAGTGAGATCATTCTGGAAGCTCAGGCTTAACAGTGTCTGCTGCGGCTCTATAAACAGATCCGGCTGCAGTCATGGATCCTCACGGGATGTCCAGCCGCCAGTTTTTGGTGTCTGTGGTACCCGTTGCTCATCTGACCTCAGCTCGCTGTACCCACACTGATACCAGCCTGTTGGGCAGTTTAATTCTACACACAATCAGGCAGATTAGTGTTTTTTCCTGTAGAGTAAAGCCCTCGCTGCCATAACACGACAATATGGCTCTCCTCCAGAATTCGTTAGTGGCCTGTGTGGATGTCATAAAGGCTGATTCAAAAGGTGGAGAGCAAAATTATGATTTGGTTTTGTATTTCTCTGAATTAATTATTTTTATAGTTAAATTAATAAGGAAAATGAAATTAGATTGGTGAGAATATATATCAATAATTTGTAAATCAAGTTGCACATGCTGTGTATTTTGTGTTACCAGTGCTTTTAATTCAGTTTTCATTGATTATGTTTACACTATTTTATTTTATTTTATTTTTTGACACACATTTGAAATTAGACTTACAGTTTCCCTTTTAATATTTGTAGGTGCTACCAGTGCTTTCAATCCTGTTTTGATATATTAAGCTCAAAATGATTTATTTTATTTTATTTTATTTTATTTTATTTTATTTTATTTTATTTTATTTTATTTTATTTTATTTTATTTTAATAAAGGGACTAAGCCGAAAAGGTAGTGAATGAATGGTATTTAAAATTAGACTTACAATTTCCCTTTATATATTTGTAGGCGTTACTAATTCAGTAATAGGTGTAGGTGTAGGTGTTTTTAATTCAGTTTTGATTTATTAAATTCACAATATTAAATAAATTAAATTAAATTTAATTATTTTAATTCAATTTTATTTAATTGTTTGTTTTGTTTTGTTTTGTTTACGTAAGTGCTTTTAATTCCGTTTTGATTTAAGTTCACAATATTTTATTTCATTTTATTTTATTTTAGTTTTATTTAAATTTACTTAGTTTTATTTCTATTTTATTTCTATTTTATTTTTTTTTTATTTTTATTTTTATTTATTTGGTTTTTAATTTTCTATTTTATTTTAGTTTTTTGTTTTATTTTATTTCTCTTTTATTTTAATTTATTTTTGTTTTTTTATTTTAATTTAGTTTTATTTTATTTTATTTTAATAAAGGGACTAAGCCATAAAGGAAATAAATAAATGTGATTTTAATTAATCTGATTAATCTTTATTAATCTGGGGTCGCCACAGCGCTAACTTATCCAGCATATTTTTTATGCAGTGGATGCCCTTTCAGCTGCAACCCATCACTGGGAAACATCCATACACACTCATTCACACTCATACACAATTAAGCTTCTCCTATTCACCTATATGTGTTTGGACTGTGAAGGAAACCAGAGCACATGGAGGAAACCCATGCGAACACAGGGAGAGCATGCAAACTCCACACAGAAATGCCTACTGGCCCAGCCGGGAATCAAACCAGCAAGCTTTTTTCTGGAAGGCAATTGTGCAACCCACTGTGCCACAATGCTGCCCTTTAAAGTTATTTAATTTTAATGTAATTTGTTCATGTACAGTGTTATTTCAGATATCTGGGTCTGTAATATTTTAAGGCATTGGTAAAGTTCCTGATTTTTGTCTATTTCTGAATTTATTCATATTCATATTATTATTATTATTATTATTATTATTATTATTATTATTATTTATTCTTTCATTTACATAACATGGCATTATTTATTACCTCTCAAAAAGCCTATGCCTTCCTGATTATTTTAGGATGAGCTGCAATATTAAATATTTAGAGAACGCAGACGAGCTTGAGAATCCTGAAGTGTATTTGCTCATTAGGGTTTAAAGCATCAATGTCAGCCTTTTCAAAATATTTCTCCATTGTCCTCATTGAAGAAGTTTGGAAAGCACTCGGTTTTGCAGGAATCTGTCCTGTTACAGCTGTCTGTGTTTGTCTTATACGCTTATAGGGAGATCAAGAGAGTGGACAAAGGACAGTTTTATTTCAAGAAAATGAATTAGAAATGGAAAATTGCCATTAGGAGCACAGCGATTTCTCATTTATTTTATCTGAAAGTTTGCAGTTCCTGCGATTGTGTGTGCAGATGTTACATACAGACATTCTTGTAAGTTGATCAGGCAAAAATAAAAAAGTTTTTCCATGTACTCCACCTCTTAATTTTGAGATTTGGTGATTTTTTTTTTTAAAATCTAATGAACGAAAACATCCAACATAAACTCTTAAGTGTTTCTTGTGTCGCACTTTATTAATTAGTGACTGTAGATTTTAATGACAGTAAATATATTTAAACCCTGTTTTTTCAAAATGAGTTTATTTTTCTCCTGCACTAAGCCATACATCTCCACGTCTGCAGTACTTACACACACTACCTGACAAAAGTCTTGTCGCCTATCCAAGTTTTAGAAACAAGGAATGATAACTTGACTTCTGGTTGATCATTTGGTATCAGAAGTGGCTCATATTAAAGGCAAAGGCCTCTAGATTACGCTTATTTTACCAAAATAAAAGATGATCATGCTTTGATTTATAATTATTTAATGAGGACAGCAAGGTCTGACTCTGCTTAGACAAAAGTCTTGTCACTTTACAGAAATAATGTCCAGTATAGAATATAAAGTCATGGTGCAGTGGAAAAAGTATGAATATTGTGTCGGACTCCCATGAGCTTGGAGGACTGCATCCATAAATCTCTGAAGTGACTCAATGAATAAAGTCATCTGGAATGACAAAGAAAGCATTCCTGCAGGACTCCCAGAGTTCATTAAGATCCTTTGGATTCATCATCAATGCCTTTCCTTCATCTTAGCGCAGACATACTCAATAGTGTTTAAGTTTGGTGACTGGGCTGGCCAATCCTGGAGCACCTTGACCTTCTTTGCTTTTAGGAACTTAACTGTGGAGGCTGAAGTATGAGAAGGAGCGCTATCCTGCTGAAGAATTGTCCCTCTCCTGTGGTCTGTAATGTAATGGGCAGCACAAATGTCTTGATACCTCTGTTGATGCTGCTATCCACTCTGCAGATCTCTCGCACGCTTCCGCCAGAACCCTAGATAAGTCTAGATTTTTACCTTGCGTTTTTAGTTTTACTTTTCTCATCAGAAATCTGCATTTACATCTCTTAATTCTGACCTTTTTTGTTTTGGTTTACGTAAGTGCTATTAATTCCATATTGATTTAAGTTCACAATATTTTATTTCATTTTATTTTATTTTATTTTTAGTTTAGTTTACTTAGTTTTATTTCTATTTTTTCTATTTTATTTTATTTTTATTTTTATTTTTATTTATTTAGTTTTTTTATTTTTAATTTATTTTAGTTTTTTTTTGTTTAATTTAATTTAATTTAATTTTTGTTTTATTTATTTTAATTTAGTTTAGTTTAGTTTTATTTTAATTTATTTAATTTAATTTGATTTTATTTCTATTTGATTTTATTTTAATTTTTGTTTTATTTATTTTTTAAATTTTATTTTAATAAAGAGACTAAGCCGAAAAGGAAATGAATGAATACGATTTTAATTAATCTGATTAATCTCTATTAATCTGGGGTCGCCACAGCGCTAACTTATCCAGCATATTTTTTATGCAGTGGATGCCCTTTCAGCTGCAACCCATCACTTGGAAACATCCATACACAGTCATTCACTCTCGCACGCTTCCGCCAGAAGCCTAGATAAGCTGTATGGATTCATAAAACTCAATGTAAAAATATAGATGAGCTCATTTAAAATGTTCTTTAAGATGTTTGTGCTTGAAATATATGCAAATAAGCCTCATTTACATTATTAAATATAACATTTTAGAAAACTTGCAATACAAAGAATGTTTATTGTCATCAATCAACTGGGGAAATAGGGTAATTACTATTAATGGATTTCTTTACTCTATTGACCTGCGGTGTCTAGTTGTCTTCACTAACTCTATTCTGTCTTCCAGGTCTAAAGCCAGTGGTTGTTTGCTGCACACTGATCCCCGTAACCGATATCTCGTCCGTCTGCCAGCCAAACTGCCCGGGATGCACTACAGCGCTGATGAGCAGTGCCAGATCCTGTTCGGCACCAACGCCACTTTCTGCACTGATATGGAGGTGTGTGTGTGTGTGTGTTTCAGCTGGGAATACAGTCACTATAGACTGCACAGTTGCAGTCAAAATTATTTGCCCTCCAGTATTTATTTTCCTTTTTCAAATATTTTCCTTTTACCACATGATGTTGAACAGAGCAAGGAATTCTACACAGTATTTCCTGTAATATTTTGTCTTCTGGAGAAAGTCCTATTTGTTTTATTTCGGCTAGAATAAAAGCAGTTTTATTAAAAAAAAAAAAAACATTTTAAGGTTGATATTATTAGCCCCCTTAAGCAATATTTTTCGATAGTCTACAGATCAAACCATTGTTATACAAAGACTTGCCTGATTACCCTAACTTGCCTAATTAACCTAGTTATGCCTTTAAATGTCACTTTAAGCTGAAGTCTAGTATCTTGAAAAATATCTAGTTAAATTTTATGTAGTCATCATGACAAATATAAAATAAATCAGTTATTAGAAATGAGTTATTAAAAATATAATATTTAGAAATGTGTTGAAAATAATCTGTCTGTAAAACAGAAATTGTGGAAAATATACAGTGGGATTAATAATTCTGTGAGACTATATATAGAAATATACAGGGGGACTAAATGTAGTTTATGGCACTGATATGTTGTTATACCTAAAAAAGACACATAAACCTAAATAAACACCCACAGTAGAGTTAAATCATAGCTAATATCACAAGAAACCGCATCCTTTTAATCTAAAGAAGATCCAATATGCATTCATGGTTAATTCCTGCTCTGGATAATTGCTGGAGAATGGTTGATTTTAGTAAGAAGCATCCAGAAAGGTCTGCAATATATATCTGAATGGAACATTTAGGATGTGACAGTAAATTAAAATTAAAAAATTAGGATAAGATTTTTTTTGTTGTTGTTTTAAAAACAGATGACTAATAGACGTCTTTTCTAAAAGGCTAAATTTGCAACCCATGCTCATTGCCGATGTGTAACTAGGTCTGCATTTCTGGGAGCAGCAACATACGTAACCATAAGTATGTCTGCTCACTGTTTTTGTTTTTGCAAATCCACCAGAGGCTGCTGTGTGTGCTTTTTGATGATCACAAATTCCTCTAGCGCAGTGGTTCTCTAATCTTTTTTATCAAGTACCACCTCAGAAAAAAATGGTCTCTCCAAGTACCACCAAAAATGAGCGGTATTGAAATACAGTAGCATAGTAGGCGCAGTAAAGCAGCTAAAACTCTGCACAGTTAAAAAAACGTGGCAGATTACCTCAGAAATATAGGCTATATGTCATATATGACATATTATATACATCATTTTTGATAAATTTTGAAATGTGTGTAGCATGTACAGGACATATTTCATTCTTCCGCGTACCACTAGAAGGAAGCTAGTGTACCACTAGTGGTACACGTACAGGGCTCAACCTGTGCAGTGCACATGCCCTTTTTAGTCTTGGATAGAAAGTGCCCTTCCAAAATGATCAAAAGTGCCCCCGCGACGCGGCACACCTTCGGTCCCGCCCTTCAGTAGGGGCGCGACAACACCGCTCTTCAGTACGCGCGCGATAACACAGCTGATCAGTACGCGCGCGATAACACCGCTCTTCAGTACGCGCGCATCCACTCTGCAGATCTGCAGCAGCAGCACCCCCCGCTCTTCGAAACATTTTTCCTGCACATGACTTTGGACGGTCTCTGCACGGGCCTGTACACGTACCACAGTTTGAGAACCACTGCTCTAGCGCATTCACTTCTCGTGTAATTCCACACTTCAGCCGGTCAGGGGTGCGTGTCAAAAACACTGGACCATAATTTTTTTTAATTGAGGACAACTCCAGAACATACGGGGATGGTTAGCAGGAGACTCCTTACAACGATGACAGGCATCGCTTCTATCAGGGAAAAATTTAGTAAATTAGGCATTGGTTAAACGAGCTCTTTGGAGCACCTTACACTGCATTAAGCCATGTCTGGCACATATAGAAGAGGAGTGCAACGTCATCAAAATATCCTCCCATTGTTCTTCCGTAATCAACACCAAGGTCGATTTCCCAAGATTCTTTGAGAGAAACTTTAGGATTTTCATTTATGCTGCGTCCGAAACCGCATACTTCCATACTATATAGTACGCTAAAATCAGTATGCGAGCCGAGTAGTATGTTAGAATTCATAGAATTCGAAAATCAGTATGCAAGAAGTACCCGGATGACTTACTACTTCCGGTGAGATTCTAGAGTGCGCATTCCATGCATGCTGCGCTATCCCATGATGCCCCGCGAGTGAATTTATGAATGGGAGTAAAGCGACGCAACTGACGCAGGTAGGTCACGTGACCATGACAAAATGGCGGATGTAGTACATCCGAATTCCATTCATACTTTTCACGTTTATACTGTATAGAACGTATTTTTCTAACGGCTGAGTAATACGTTTAAATTCAAATGCAGTACCTACTGAGTAGTATGCGGTTTCCGACGCAGCCTTAGTGTACTTATTAAATTAAAATTGCTGATATTAAATGTTTTTGACCCATATCCAGGGCCAGACGGAATCTGCGGATGTTTTTTGCTATTTCTGCAGAGAATTTTGGTAAAAATCTGAGGATTTCTGCAGAATTATTTTGGGAGTATCTAGCGGAGTATCATAACTAGAACCTTAACATATTAAACAAAAAGTAATAAATTACTGAATAAAAACTGAATAAATTCAGATATACACATTTACTCAAGTAAATAAACCGAATTAATAATGGGCAAAAAATCTGCGGAATTCTGCGGAAAATCTGCGGATTTCTGCGCGTGCAGATTCCGTGTGGGCCTATCTAAACTGAAAAAAAAAAATAGATGGTGTTCTTGAGGGTGGTTAGGAAAGTGGGGAAACAATTTCTAACAAAGTTTCTGACCTGAAAGAAATGAAACAAATGACTGTTGGAGAAATTGTATTTAGTGGATAGAAATGAAAACATGTGAATACCCCGATGATACATCTCACAGATTTTCTTCGAATTTTTACCTTGCGTTTTTAGTTTTACTTTTCTCATCAGACATCTGCATTTACATCTCTCAATTCTGACCTTTTTTCTCCAGAATTCTGAGATTATGTCTTTTATTCAATACATGACAGAAGCACAACTGTTTTTCTTCATCTTGCCCCCGCGGGATCTCACATGTCGCACATGGAAGCATAAAAATGATCTAGGCTACATTTGTAGCAGGTGAATGACTTAAAAGAGTTTCCGCACTTGATCACTAAATCACATTTATCCACACAAAGCCTCAGATCTCCGGAGATTTCCCGACTGTAAGTTTGAGAAGTTTTCCACAGTCAAAACATGAGAGCGGATGGCAGGTGTTGCTGAATCTGATCAGTTCAAAGGCAGCTTGTACTCTTCCGAGCTTGAAATCATCATCATCTGTAGGAGTTTATATCAGTGCTACAAACATTTCCTCTTGATGCCCGTCTTTCATACAGTTGAAGTTCAATCCTGTATATGTTTCCCCCCGATTTCAGTTAAACAGAGATTTTTTCAACACATTTAAACATAATAGTTTTAATAACTCATTTCTAATAACTGTTTTATCTTTGCCATGATGACAGTACATAATATTTGACAAAATATTTTTCAAGATACTACTATACAGCTTAAAGTGACATTTAATGGCTTAACTAGGGTAATTAGGCAAGTCATTGTATAATGATGGTTCTGTAGACTATCAAAGAAAAATATTGCTTAAGGGGCTAATAATATTGATCTTAAAATGGCTTTAAACATTTTTAGTGTGGTTTATTCATAAACTAATTTCGAGAGGATCACGTGCTTATGATCAACACGGCTGGCTCCTTATTAGCTGCCCTATTGGATGATTACGGAAGCATTATAAATAATCTACATTTTTAACTCCAGTTATGTTTGTCTTGAAGCTTTCCCCCCGTCCACCCCTACTTCCTCCCCCTTTTCCGATAGAGCAACGGTGGCCCAGTGGCTAGCACTGTTGCCTCACAGCAAGAACACTGCTGGTCCAACTTATCGGGCCGCTTGGTGTTTCTGTGCGGAGTTTACATGTTCTCCCTGTGTTCGCGTGGGTTTCCCCTGGGTTCCCCGGTTTTCTCCCTCCGTCCAAACACATAAACCATAGCCAATCGACTAAACCAAATTATCACCCACGACAACCTTAGTTTACACTTCTCACGGCGACATGCAGGGGAGTTCTCGAGACCTACCTGAGCTGGAACTCCTCTCCCGCCCTTCTAACAGGAGGGAGCCCCGGGCTCGAGGATATTACGAGCTCAGGGCTCTCTTCCGGGACAGCATGCCAAATACGCTTTATTGATTATCAGCTAAGTGTGAACTCTTGAAACTGCTTTTAATCTAGCTGATATAAAACAAATAAGAATTTGGCAATTAAACAGGCAATTAAATTACAATAAAAATTACTGGCAATCCCTTTTTGAACATACCAGTAAATTTGTTTTGGCTATTTTTCGGAAAAAGAAGTTGTAACATTACCGGTAATTTGCCGGAATGCTGCGCTGTGTGAGCGCAGAAGGAAAATTGCTGGAGAGAGTGCGTTCACATTAGATCACGCTGACGTGAGACGTCTACTCCAGCCAGTCAGAACATTCAGACACATTCACATCCGCGCTGTTTATGAAAATAAAAGCCTTTTAATATTTTTCCAGGCTAATTAATAATAGTTAAAATAAAAAAATAAAAAATAATAATGAAAAAATAATTAAATCAAAATTAAATGAATAAAAAAAATCAATAATCTGCTTATGATAAACCGCTGTTTGACCTTATCTCCTGTTTCATTTAACCTTCGCCCTGTTTACATCTCACAGTTCTTCCTTTTCTCTGTACTGTACATTTACATTTTGTAATATAGTATTTTTATATTAGAATTTCAAATCTTTTGTCACAGAATATTTGTGTCAGAGACTTTTTTAAAAATATAATTTAGGTGGCTAATGATATTGACATTAAGATGTTTCTTAAAAATAATTAAAAACTGCTTTTATTGTAGCC